TTCACGAACCGTACAGTTGAAAATTGGAATCGTTTGGACAGTGAAGTTGTTAACGCTAATTCAGTAATTGATTTTAAAAATAAACTTTAAAAGTTTTAGCGAAAAACAGTTGTTAAAATCTAACACCTACAGTTGTTAGATTCTTTCTTGAGACTCTCAAATACACAGCTTTAATTAGTTATTAATAATTGTAATATACAACTTGTTTCTCTGCAATAAATCACTATACCCTTATATATATATATATATATATATATATATATATATATATATATATATATATATATATATATATATATATATATATATATATATATATATATTAGGGTATAGTGATTTTCATTACAAAAAAATAAATTTTCCTGAGACACGAATCGATGTCTATTATTATGGGTCCCTAATATTTCCAAAAAAAAAGTTTTTCAAAAATATGTCAATCTGGTACTCAAATGAAGGGAAGTTATATAAAAATTTCAAAAAATATATTCATTTTGAAAAAATTTTAACTTATTTATCAAAATTATCATAAAAAAACATAAAAAATGCATTCTTTTCTTTTTTTGTTAAAAATTGTTATTTTTTAAGTAATAAAACCAAAACTAACAATTTTTTAAAAAATGAATATTATTTTTGAAATTTTCATATAATTTTTCTTCATTTGAGTACCAGGTTGACATTTTTTTGAAAAACTTTTTTTTTGAAAATTTTTAGGGACCAATTCAATATTCGAGGGTCTTCAGGGACCCCTTAAAATAATTTTTATTAAAAAAAAATTTAAACCTAGGGTTTTTGTATTGGATAAAACACATTTAGAGGGTTATTCTCAAAAAAGCTGTTTTAAGGGTCACCCTTATATATATACATATATATTTATTTATTGAGATAATGAACCAATATATTTTTGCATAATAGTTAAAATGATAAGTTTTTGTGTAATAGTTGAAATTATAAATCTTATGAACTCATTAATAATAGTTTATTAAATTGGTGTGGTATATCAAATAATAGAATATTTAAAATACTAAATAGTCCAGCCAACTAGAAATCAGGGAAAAGTCAGGGAATTTTTTTTCTAGTCAGGGAAAAATCAGGGATTTTTATTTTTTTTTTCTAAATATTCGGGGAAAAAATCTCTTTTTCCAAATTTAATTTTTTTTCAAAGTTTTTATTTACTTACTGCCTAACAACAAAACTTAAATACACACACCTAAAATATAACTGTCAGGGAAAAATATAAAAAGTCAGGGAAAAGTCAGTGAATTTAATTGTACAAAGTGGCTGGCCACCCTGGTGGTGTAAATAACTCCATAGTGCCAAAAATGGATTTGGTGCATTTCCCTCGTATACCGATCTCGTAAGACTACCTCAAAGCAGGATCGGCTTTTAGTTTAGGCGAGTTAGTCCGATCATTTCGAGTTTTAAGGAGATTCGATTTACAGCTTTTGTTTTTACAAATCCATGTTATGCTTTATTGATTAGCTAGTGTGTTGTCGCAAATGTCATTATTCGATCGTGTATGAAAAATATCCATGGCCTTGCACAACGCAAAAGAAACTGTACTGAAGTGCTTGTTTTGAGTCTATAATGTCTTTTTTAAAGATTGGAGTAATACTAGATATTTCCACAGTTAGAGCAATACGTCAGTGCTAATTGAGCGTTTAAAACAAGTGCAACTAGTGTAGAAAAAGCTACGGAACATTTGCTTAGGACCCGTGGATAGATTCTATCTGTTGATTGCTTTGAAATTACAATTGTCCTGGTTTGTAATTTTATGGCTTTGTTATAATTGAGACGTATAGGTTGTAAATATTGTTTGCTGAAAGGCAAATATTTATGTAATTTTATATAGAAATAACTAAAAAATCTGAAGCACATTCATAAAACAGTAAATTACCAACTGTATTATAAAAAGTAAGAACAAAACAACTTAGATAAAAAACTGTGTAAAATGTAAAAGAGTTAGAAATAATTTAAATAACATTTTTAAAGAGTTTAAGAATAGCTTTTTTTATTTGAAGGTTTTTAATATATTTTTCTTTTTCGAAAATTCAAAAAATTTAATAAACTTATAAGTTTATTGAACTTTTTCAATAAAAATTATCAGATTTTTTTAATCTTTTATTTTTTTGAAGAAGTTTTTTTGAAGTTTCAATGGTTTGTATAAATATATTAAGTAGCAGGAACAAACAAAACATAACTTTCTATTCAAAGGACATCAATTAAGTCATAAGAGGCATGTTCTTAAGTGCAAAGAAGATAATGATTTTCACAGTTGTTGAGTTTGTAAGAAAAACTAAAAATATTTCATTTACACTAGCCGCGAACATAATCCATGAGAACTTTATGTACTTAAAACAGATATAAAAAATACTAAAGTAAAATACAAAATTTTAAGGCAATATAAAAAAATCGAAATATAAAACTTTTATTTTACCAGGGCCCAAACAAAGTTTTACCAGGGCCCAAACAAAGTTTTGCCAGGGCCCAAACAAAGTTCTCCAATTTTTTTAACCAACCTAATCAAAATAGCTTTTTTAAAATACTCCACTGTTAAAAATTTAAATAAAATTGAAATCTTGGGATATTTGAGGGTAGTTGAAAACAAGGAAAAGATTTTACCCATATTTTTCAATGTTCTTGTTTGTAACTTATATAAAATATTAAAAACGACATGTCAAAAATTTATCATAAAAATATCTTGATTTTTATGGTTTTTAGTTTTTTATGTAAATAGTTAGGTTATAAATCAACTTTAAATATTTTATTTGAAAGTTTAGAAGATCTCACTCATTGCAAATGGAAAGTAAAATATAAGTACAATGATCGTTATTAAAAAATAAAAGAAAGAACGCGGGGACTCGTAGAAGACCATACGGTCTTGTCGTCAAGTACCGCTAAGAAATGTTCGTGTTAAAATTTATAGATATTTGCAAGATAAAAATAGGTAACGAAGTAAGAAACTTAAAATATTCCGTTATAAATACAAAGTGCGGTATATCTATTATATAATATATAATTATATAATAGATATAACGCATATATATTATGTATATTATAGTTATTAATGATACATATATAATTTTTATAAATTCACGTTTAAATAGAGGGTAAAAAGGAATATATGAATTTTATACTTTGAAAATTTAACTTACAAAAATATGACAAAAGGTGTAACATTTCTACTTTTGTATTTTATTTTTATTAAAATAAGGTAATTGAAAAAAAACACTGGGCTTACTTGAACATGCTTGTGTTACCTTCTCATTATACACAATAGTGGTGCCTTCATCTTCCAGTTAAATTACGTTTATGCTATTGTTTACTGTACTTTGCTTCTGTAATCCTAATCTTATTATTGCTTATTGTACTTTTTTAAACCTATAGTAGTTGTAAAAATAGAGTGAAAGTTAAAACTTTTAGCTTCACAAAATTCTTCATTAATTGTTCAGACAATTCTTTAAAAATATATATTGCTAGTTTGTTTTAGGTTTAACATACAACGACTTCAAAAAGTACAGGTCCAGGCACCCTGAGCTTTACTTTGATAAGTCTTGAAAGAGTTGGTTCATGTGAAGACGGAAGGAATGTCTGAAGGAATCTGTTAGTTGGTCTGTTAAACCTCCATGCAAGGGTGCTTGGTACCAAAATAGAAAAGATAGTGGCCTTAGTGGTTAATGGAGCCAACCAGATGAGATCGAGAAAAAAAAGTAGGAAAAAGAAAGTAAGTACAAATATAGTAGATGTGGTTAGTAACAAGATGGGGTTTGCAAAAAGACACTGCAAAAATTTTGAGTTTCAAAATAGGGACGACATGTAGTGTGACTTGTCAAAAAGGAACCGGAAGTGATGTGATTTGAAATAATGGTAATGCGAGTGCATTGGCGCCCGCAGGATTTTTGGGCACTAATGTAGTAAAATTTTTAACTTTACTTTATAAAACTAAATTTAAATTTATCGACAGATTTTAAATTTCGTTGAAAACTATTGTAAATTACAAAAATTATGACCATGCAAAATTTACACCTACTCATTTTGGGGGGTTGGAAAATTTGAATGGTCATAACTTTTGTTATGACCATGCAAATTTTTTTTATTTTGCAAGATAGGTATAATTATATATTTTTTTATATAATAGCATTTAAAATCTTTTTTTAGATTGCTTTACAAAAGTTCAATTCTTACTTTTGGTCGGAGGATGTGCGCGCTACTAATGTAAAGAAGTAAAATAAATTTTTGTATTTAATATTAGATTTACTTTTTTTAATAAATATAAAAATAATAATAAAACTTTTTTTTGCATTTTTTAGCAGTAAAGATGTTGGTTCGGTGACCAATTTAGCCGCAGCCTTCCGATACGGAGAGATATAGACCGATAGCGGAAATATAGAGACCGATGTCGGTCTCTAACGTGGTATAAAAAATATCGATCGTCTAGCCAAAGTCATATCTAAATAATTGAAACTTTTAGACTTTAATGCTGAACTTTTAGACTTTAATGCTGAATTATGTAAAGTGGTATGAAATTCACCTAATTAAGGTCATGGTAAGTTTAGTAGCAACTTTAGTCTGATACTGTGTTGATATATTTGAGATAATCAAATACAACATTTCTAAAAGGAAAGTAAGTGAAAGTTAAAAAAAAAAAATTTTCAGTTTAATAGCCAGCTTTTTATAAAACTTAACTGGCTTTTCAACCATATATAACCATATATAACATGATATGGTTTTAAAAACAATAAATAGTTAAAAAAAATTTGAGTTAAAAAAATGATTTGATTGATTATAAGTAAAGAACTTTACTTAGTTACGTCCATAGTATCCAAATTTGTCATTGATATATGTTGTTAATATATGTAGTTGATATATATTTATCCAAGAATTAAATTTTAAATAGTTGTTTTTGTTTTTGAGTCTGTATCACTAAACTACTTAAGATCCAAAATTGTAAATCTGAAAATGTTATAAGTTAAAAGGAAAGAAGGAAGTCAAGTGTGATATATATATATATATATATATATATATATATATATATATATATATATATATATATATATATATATATATATATATATATATATATATATATATATATATATATTATGGCAAAGCATACAAATTTAAAGAAAAGAAAAATTAAACGAGTGTTTCAAAGTAACAGGTATATTAAGACTAATTTTTTTAGCTTCTTAATATACCTGTTACCTTGAAACACTCGTTTCAAGGTAACTCGTAAATAATGTTGCTTTGGAATAGCCTGCAGAAGGAGCAAACAATGATGGAATAGATATATAAATTGATATACTCAATAGGCCGTTGTCTTTATGTCGCTGCAAATGAAACCTTAACTGAGCTATAGGTTCAAAACTTATATTACAAATGTAGTATGGATACAATCTTAAACTACCTATTCCTAACTATTGCATAAATTTATATATAAAAAAGCTGAATTTACTAAGGTAGATAATTTGCTTTATACTTCTCAACGTGGGATTATTTTTATTACGCATATGTTGCACATTTTTGTTTTACAAAACTATACAAAATTAAGAATTCGTAATTTTCTAGGATTGCTACTCCAAAAAAAATGTGCAAATTACAACATCAGCATTTAGTGTGAAATTAAAATTCCTCGAGAGTGTATGTTACAAAGTTCTTGAATGGTTTTTTTTAGTGAAGACTTTGTTCGGTGCTGGGATTACTTTAACTACTGCAAAGACATTTAGACAATGGAATATTCCTCAAGAAATTATCAATAATATCCGAATAGAAGAAAAAAAGCTAATACTACCAGCATGTAATTTTTTTGTTTACTTTTACTTGTGGAAAACCTTAAAATTTTTAATGAAAAAACATGATACTATAAAACATGATATTTTGTTTTCAGTAATATGATGTTTTAATTAAAAAGATATAAGTAAAAATTAATTAAAGTTTTAAAAAATGTAATTGCAACTCATGAACAATACAATAAAAAAAGCAAATCGACTGAGCGAAACCCTGAAGAAGTTCAAAAAAGATTTTTAAAAAGTCTTAAATTCTGCACGGTGGTAATTTTCCTATATATTTTCTCCGAACCGGTTGTTGATAATCTAGCTATTAAATTTAGCCATTAGATTTATGTAAAAAAACTTGAGTCGTTTCACATTTTAATACCATTCATATTAATTTTCCAATTAAAATGGTGTCCTCTGAAACTTTAAATCTTATATATTATTGCCGAACTTGATAGTGTTAGTAGTAGTAGTGCTCATTCGAGCGTGTTTGACATGGTACCTTTGGCAGCCATTGCAACCGAGATAGTGGCTAGAAAGAGTCGCACTACTTTAAAAGTCGTACGTAAACTTTAAATTAAGTAATGTTAAAACATACAGAAACATTTATCAGGTTTTACACTTTGATTTCCGCTTGAAAATTGCATTGCGTCAAGCTCTTCTTAATTTTTGTTCTATAACAATTATTTCCGTTTAAAAAATTATTATATAGTTTTAAAATATTGTTAAACAACGTGCCACCGTGGCCGAGTGCATAGCGCGCCGAGCTTCTGACCAAGCAAGCCGTGGTTCTAGTCCTACCACTTGCAACATTTTTTTTTTAAACTATTTTCGATTATTTTAAAATACAAAATGCTTTTGAAGTTTTATAGAGATTATATACAAACATATGTAACGATATTATACACTTTAACAAACCAAAAGATTTTTAAAAAGCTAAAACTTCTAAAAACATCAAAACACTGGGAGAAAAAATTTGTTGCGTATGTGTCATGATTGAGATACTTATGTTATTAATATGCTCAGGTAATTAGCCCTAATAAGCTAATTAAAAAAATTGTCTAAAACTGAATAAATGTAAAACCTAATAAAACAGCCGTGCTACTCCGAAGGTGCTGCTGTGGAGGATAAGAAAAAAAAGCCGTAGCTAGAAAAAACTTTAAAACTTTCTTTTGACAATTAAGTTTTTTTTTGCTACATTTACTTTTTTTACTATAAATATATGCTGATATTGTTTTTCAAAACGCCTTAAGGGGGCTCACCCCCTTCAAAATAGCACCAAAAAAAAATTTGAAATTTTGGGTTTTTCGTTTTTTAAGTATAAAATTTAATGAGGAATCTGATTCTGAAATCAAAAAATTAAAAAAAAAAAACATGAGTAAGTCTGTTTCTTGTTTATTTGAACATAGTATAAAAGAATTTCCTTAGCAACACCCATAGCAACAATTTTTTTTTTTTTTCACCTATCTACAATACCTTTTACATAAAACTTAATCTTATATGATTAATTCAAGTCTGTGAAGTGTTAATTTTTCAAAGTATGGAATAGCTCTTTTTGAGCATGTTAAGCACACTGCTACACAACCACATAGCATACACTTCACATGTGTTACTTACTTTTTATTATAAGTTAAATTATGTTTAGTAGATTATTTAGTGATTATTGTGTTTATTTATAAATAATTTATTGATATTTTAAGTTGTGTGGATAAGTTTAAAAATAATTATTGGTAAAAAAGAAGAGCTTAATTATTGAGTTAATAATGAAAAAAAAAATGTTGCACATAAAACGATATTAAATGGTAAAATCAAAAAGGTAAAATTTGCAAGTTTAAAAAAAAAGAAAAGGAAGTTTAAAGGAAATTAACACACAAACAAAAAACAATCTGTGCCAATGCAATCTGAGCTGTTAAATCTTGTTGCATTTACTTCAGCATCATTACCAAAAACAAGATCTTATACTAAGCCATGCTATTCCTCAGCTTTTAAATGATGGTATTACTGGGAATCGGATTTTGGACATGTTTAATTTGTCAAACTTAATTTCAATTCTTGGTTGTCCTCAATGCAAACAAAGTTCATGTATGAAGCTAAGTGAAAGTTTAAAATATGGGTTTGCAAGTAAAATGAAAAAAAAATGTTCTTGCCAATGGGAACATTCATTTTGGACATCAAAAATACTGCTTTTAAGTCACGAGGGTTCGATATAAACTATAGGATAGTATACTCGGTGCGTAGATGCGGTCAAGGCTTTGCTGGTATTAATCGTTTTAGTTCCCTTATGAATTTTCCACCACCATTTACATCAAAAAGTTATACCAAGAGTGGCAACAGCCTTAACACTCTGTTTTTACGTTAAAACAGAGTGTTAAGGCTGTTGCCACTCAAACTATGAATGAAGCAGCTCAAGAACTAAAAGAATTATTCGAAAATCTATCACAAAATAATTTTTATGATGTACCTGTGTCATGCGATAGCACCTGGCAAAGGCGAGGATTTTCATCGCTGAATAGTACTGTTAGTTGCATTTCAATGGACACAGGCAAAGTTTTGGATGTTGTTCCGAAAGTCGGTCTTGTAAAAAATGTGAGAAAATTTAAATGACAAACTCATTAGAGAAAACTAATTTGGAAATTAATCACAATTGTTTAGCAAAGTTTACTGGATCAGCACTAAATATGGAAACAGAAGGCACAAAAATTATTTTTGCGAGATCCACAAAATTGCAAATGAGGTATACAGAATTATATGGAGATAGCGATTCCAAAAGTTTTATTTCACTGGAAAACATATACAATGGTATAAAAGTTATAAAGAGAATGTCTGGGGCATGTGCAAAAGAGAGTAGGAACCCATCTACAAAAACTAAAAAAGGAAACAAAAGGATTAGGCGGAAAAAGAAAACTATCAATTATTGACAAGCTTCAGAACTACTACGGAATGGCTATCAGGTTGCATGTTGGTGATAAACAAGCTATGAAAAAAGGAATTATAAGTGGGTTTTGCCATGTGGCATCTAATAAAATTAACAATCTTCATGTAAATTGTCCGGCTGGAAAAAATAGTTGGTGCGGATATCAAAGAGCTGTGGCAAATAATGAAATTGACAAGTTTAAGCATGGTCCAGGCTTGCCAACAAATATTGCATTACGAGTTAGAAAAGTTATAAATGAGTTAACATGTGGTTCACTTGCTTACATGGAAAAACACAAAATCAAAATGAGTCATTTAATAATATGGTTTGGCTGAAGCTGTGATTAATTTGTATCAAAAACTAAATATGGCTCCAGGATTCTATACCAATCTTGGATGTGATAGAATAAATAACAAAAAGATAAAAAATTCAATAAAACACAGCGAACCAAAAAATGTCCTTCGTCGACGTCAAACTAGAGGACAGAAAAAACAAAAAGATGACAAGAAAAAGCAAAATGAAGAAAAAATTTATAAAGCAGGATTATTTTAAAGTTAATTTTATAAAAAGTATTTTTATTATATTTAGTTTTTTTATTCTGGATATCATAACCCCTTATTTTTAGTTCAACAGCGATTTTTAATTTTTTTTCTTTTTCGGGTGGTATAGTTTATAAATATGATATTATAGGTGATGTAGATGTTGTATAATTTTCCATTATCAAAACACTCTTTAAATTAGTTTTATTAAGGTTAGAATTAAAAAACTCTAAAAAAATATCTCACTATAGCTCTTATTAAAAAATGTTTTACATTTTGCTTATTTTCTCAATTTACATTTTTTCCGAGTTTAATAGAATTTGGAAATATGATAA